AAATAGGGTGAATACATCTCATTACACTGATTTACTGGTAGTCTCGAAACCCTACTCACTTACGAATATTTGTGCAATGATGAAAAGCTACCAGAGCCAGTCCCAAGGCAAATCTCGTATCGTATTCCAGTGAGATCGAACTACGATCCTTTTCATCAGGCACTTTCGCCAGAGATAAGTGTCCCTGCAAAAAATGAGACATTGGTAGACGCCTCGAAACCCAGTAATCGTTTGTTAATGCAAAATAGCTATAAATGGAAAAGGAAAAAAGTACCTGATTGTGAGCATCTGATAGGGAACAAATTAAAAAATCTGAGAAATGCCGAGTACTTTGAGTCAATAAAAATAAATGTAGAAGTGGTCTGACCTCGTTTTCGCAATTTGACCGTATTGTCAGGGCGACTTAGTTGGGTGCACCTTATCCGAAATCCTCTGCTATAGTCGTTTTCATAATTGCCAGCGTCGAACCGTGGATTAGGCATATTCTCAGTCGTCTCGCCGGCATCGCCAGGGAGTCTTGCCAGGTACAACTCGTCAAAGAGACCAGGACTGGTCAAGGAGTTGACTTCACTTGTCTTTGTGACACGTTGTAGTTTGAAGCTGAGACTCACTTCGGGTGCCGACGTAGAGTCTTGGAATTTCCCAAGTCCACAGTCCGACGCAGGGAAGTATGAAAATTATCATAGCAGAGGACTTCGGACAAGGGGCATCCAATTAAGTCGCCCTAACAACACGACTAAGTTGGGAAAATGAGGTCAAACCACTTTTATACATCGAAAGGAGACTTAGACCAAAATAGAGGCCACAACATCTTGGTGTTCATATCTAAAATAAAAGTACATATGAATATTTTAGGAGATACATTATTGTCTATACATAAAGACGATGCATAATGACGAATTAATTCAAAATGACTCCCATACTTAAGGCATTAACAAAATCAAAAATTAACAAAATCCAAATTTTGGTAAGGAATTTCGTGGAAGAAGGGCAAAAGTTTTCGCCAAGTTCGCGTTCACATAAAAATTTTGTTTGTGCAGTGTACAGAGAGACAAAGCCAAGTAAGGATTGTGGAAGCACTTCATGAGAGTTCTCTCCTTATTTCTCACAACAAGACATTTAAAACACTGGCCACAAGTTCCAAATCATGAATTCACATTAAGTAGGTCTCGCAACCATCCGGTCTTGTTTAAATCGTAAAGTTTACCCCAAGGAAGTGTGTGTTCAAGAAGACTTTTCTTCTGGGTGGACGGCCTCGGCTCTTAAACGTCCATATCTACCGCCTCCATTGTCATCGACTGGACACCACTTTGAGACTTTCTGAAGTGATACAATCACCCGATTCGGCTAAATGCCAAGTTATTTAACCATTTTGTAGGGAACAGCCATTCGGAAAATTGTTCGTCCTCATGGGTAGATAATTTCGATGCACGCTGGCCAAATTACCTTTGATTACAGCCACACTAGCATTTCTAGGTCAAGTTAGATCTAATGCTATTCGGCAACTTGTACTATACAGGTTGTGTGGGAATATTTGTGATTTAAAGATTGTGTCAAGTCCACGGTCCAAAGCTGGAAGTTATCACGGATAATATGGTAGAGGACTTCGGACAAGTGCGTTCATCCAGGCCTCTCTAACAATAGGATCAAGTTGCAAAAACGAGGACTGATAGTTGAATTTTCTACCAAACATTTGGGTGGGATTCAATGTCATCCTGAGGCGTAATCATATGAGTGTGAGAAAACTCCATTATCAGTCCTTAAATCAGCTGAAATTATCTTTGGCTGGCTAAATTCTGTTTCGAGTGACAGTGTTGGGTGAAGAGATTCGAAGTTCGGTTCCACCAGAAGACGATGGCCGATTCCTCTTGACCAGCTTTCTATTGGCTTTACTGGAAGATTCATGCTGACGCTGTTTCCGAGGCAATCTCCTTCGATTCCGGTGAAAACGTATGGTTTTACTGGAAGATTCATGCTGACGCTGTTTCCGAGGCAATCTCCTTCGATTCCGGTGAAAAGGTGCCAAGTTTTCGTCCGTCATATGACGGACATCATTAGAGCCAGGTAACATCGTCACAACACAATTCAAACTAACGAGTCAAGAAAACTCACCAGCAAATCCCTAAAAAGTGGTATATATACTCTAAGTCTGGCCTCTTTGATCAAGTATAAAGTGATTTGATTAGTTAAGGTCATAGGTCAACTTCTATGCATGTGAGTGTGTCTGTCTCTGTATTTGTATGCGCATGTTTGTGTTAGGCTGGCTAAATTCTGTTGATACGAAGAGAAACTGTGTATCGATAACTCTCCTGAGATAACATTGTTGGGGGAACTTTCATTCTGTATGAAAGTGCATAAAGAAGATATTCGTTGGTCGATTTTACCAACGTTTGTGAATGTACCCAACCAATGGTCCAATGCTGGAAATCACGAATGTTATGGCAGAGGACACGGGACTTGGTACGTTCCACAAGTTCTCCCTGACGCTCCGACCAGGTTGCGAAAACAAAGTCGAACCAACTCTAGGAAGCTAGAGGAGGCCACACCATCTTGGCCTTCATATCTACGATCTATTTACTTGCTTGTGTCTGTGTACGTTTGTATGCATGTTTGTGTGTGCTAGCATTGATGCACAATGTCGGCCTTAAATCAGAGTGATAACGCTTCGTATGGAAGTATATGATGAAGAGACTCGTAGGTCAATCTCACCAGAAGACGTCGGCCGATTCGTGTTGTGCTGCCGCCATTCAGCATTATTATCTCGTTCAGGTTGAGGCAGCACACGAGATATCCTCCAATGTTATGGGCGAAGACGAGATGAGCTTTCGTTTTCATGTGAAGAACATCATCAGAGATTGGACCATTCTTGCAAAAACTCACGTTAACAGTAAATCAAGAATATTGTGGCATACTTCTCCTTTTCGAAGGGAAAGTTGGTTGGGAGGAATTGGTGATGTGGTCTCACCAGAAACCGAAGGAGGATTGTCGCGTAAGGAAGACTGTTGATTTGTGCGAAGAAGTCCTCGGCTCACCGTCCTGCGACCACGATGAAAGTGTGCTGAGTGTTCGTCTGTACCATCGTGACAGACATCATCAGAGCAAGATTTCATACTTTACGAAATAGAGCAAAAATATACGAAACCAAGAGAAAAAGGTGGCCGTTTACAACCCTGGTCGCTTTTTCTATACGCCTAACATCACGACAATCCTCCTTCGGTTTCCGGTGAAACCATATCACGAATTCTTCCAACCAACTTTTCTCTTCATGCCACAATATTGCATTAAGTAAGTCTTCGAAACCCAGTTTCTATTCATATCTTCCAAGTAAATCAAGAAAACTGACCGGAATTTTCTATTTGATATATTTACCGATTGCGAGCAAAAGTTCAGGTATAGATGGATATAGAAAGATTTGACTAATTCAATTATACTAGATTGTACATTTGTACGCAAACCCGAGTAAAACGTCAGCCCTGGGTCATCAAGGCCTAATTACCCGAAGAAAAATGATGAACAAAATCGCTCTAGTCCGTAAGTAACCCTGGTTACATTGATGACATGTATGTCTGTATTCGTGAAGGCCAGGTTACAAAACCACCAGTCCGAACCTGTTGATCTGGGCTATTAAGGTTTACTGAGCTAAGAAGAAGCATGGCTGGGAATGCCCAGTCCTGAGCGTCTTTTTTGTCTGATGAACGAGTGCTAACTTGGTTAGAAGCATCACTCAGTTGACTAGTTGAGTCGTCTTCTTTTGCACCGTGGCTCAACACGCTCT